ATGCAAATGCTGGTCTCTCTGGGGGATGCTGGGAACTCCATCTGTTTCCCTCTTTCCTTTAGGTAGATTGCCCTGGCTGCAGTGTAGGGGTATGAAGACCTGTCCCCAGGTCAGAAAGAGTCACAGGGAGCCAGATTTTCTGCTTTCTAGTTTGTGGCCTCATAAATGTGCAGCTACTGGCGCAGGACTCCTGTGGGAGGTGCTGCAAGATCACCAGGCTGAACCACACATGGAACTGTGGGTCAGGAGGGCATTTCTGACCTGCCACCCTACAGACGCTGTTCTCTGAGGTGTCACCAAGGACAAAGTGAGGCTCCCAGGAGTGGATTTTCATGATCTTGAGTGATTCTGTTGCAACTTAGAGGAGTGCTACAAAACTAGACTTCTTTTGCTTCATCCCCAAGTCTAGGTTTCTCATACTAGATTATGTGAGCTTGGTTCAGACCTGTCCCTTGGTTCTAACCTCTTGGCATTTTTTCCTCTAAGAGCAGTGTACGCATTAGGAGGAATGAGAATGTATATGTCTGTAAGAAACGGGGTGATAGTCATTCTTCAGCAGTCACTCTTGCAGTTGTGTTGACTGCTACCCAAGCCATTGCTCTGCTGCAGTGATTTATTCTCCCTTCCTCCGTGCAGGTCTGTCATTGTGGAAAACTCTGCCAACAGCACCAATGTCAATGAAATCCTCAAGCCTGTGAAGAAACGAAAGAGGAAGGATTACCAAAGCCCTTCGGAAGAAGAATATGAATCTGAGCAAATGGTAGGAAGATGGAAGGTGCATGTGTGTATGCACGGCTATGTGACAATGTGGGGGTGGGCCAGTGACCACGCATGTGTTAGCTGCAGCTGTGTACAGTTCTCACTGGTGCTTCTTAAGACCATATCAGCTACATGTCCAAGTGGTAACCAGAGCTGTTAATGCCAAAAAGACTTGAATGCATGGATTGTCCTGGCTCCCAGGGACTTTGCCTGCTGTTCAGTGTGCTGAATGTGCTGGATTATACAGCGCTGGGCACACTCTGCTTGGGTTATAGGTGTCGGACTCTCCCAACTGGTCTCTTGAATTGGACCATTGAACATAGTGTTGAAGTAAGAGGGCATCTTTTCACTGTATAATGTATATCCTGGGGAAGGGAGAGGGACTTCGACCAGCCAAAGAAGGGCTGTGCTTACTATCCTTATCTCAAATATATTTGCACCAGGTGTGATTGCTATGGTTGCTATCATTCAGCAGCAAATGCTCCCTCATGTTCCCATCTTCAGATCCTCTTGGACCCCCATTTCTGGCCTAGGCATCATCCAAATTATGAATATTGTGGATGTCCCTTATGGCACTTGCAGGAGCATACATTATGCAATGCAAATCTCTGTATGGGAATCTGTAATTTCCAACCTGATAGGCTTCTCTTTTGTCTGCTGTCATGCAGGAGGAAAAGCAGGAAGAGAGAAAAAGCTCTGCAGGAGACTCAGCCATCAGCAATCCAGACACGGAAGCGTGGAACGGAAGTCAGCACGGTATGGAGGGGCTGGGGTGCCGGGAGGGTGAGCTCTGCCATCGCAGCCCCTTCTTACGAGGGCAGCAGTAAGCGGAGCTGGTGGAGCTGCAGGTCCTCTGCAGTGCTGAGGAGCTGGGCTGGGGTTACGGTGCTCCAGGTGTGAGCTGAGGACACAGACCTGCGAGCTGCTGCCTGCTCCTTTTCCCTTTCTCTCCTTCCTCTCTTTCTCTCCATGGGTGTGCCCATACGAGTGTCCAGGAGTTCAGCTGTACTGTTCAGTGCTTTTGGCCCCTTCCCACTGGGAGCTGATTTTATTGCTTGTTTTTGAATATGCTGTTTGTGATGATCCCATTTCGCTCTGAGAGGTGCTCTTATGAGTGGCAGTGGGACTGTGCTACAGCTGTCTTTGCCCCGCTTTGGACAGTCTCAGAGGGAACATCCTGCCCAGGATCCAGGGACCATGAGTCTGGGAGCTGTTCCTGTAGGTCTGGTGCAGCTGCTGAAGCCTGAGGATTTGCCTTGGTCTCGTCTCCCAGCGTGGGCTGTACCACAGCAGAGCAGATCTCAGACAGCCAGGGGCATTGAGGGAAAAGAGGCAGGCTGAGGGATGCACTATTTGCTTTGTTTATTTTTCCCTTGTGTGATAGTGAGAAAATATTGAACATAAAGACTTATGGTGAATATTTTCCCTTTGAATAGGAAAAGGCCACTTTTAAAGTCATTTTAAAATTGAATTGTTCCTGCTGCAGTTTGGAAGCCCCTTCATAGCCAAGTGTAGACTCTAGCAGGGAGCAGGTTATTGGAAAGAGTTGATCCTTGCTGTTACACCGAGTTAACCTCTTAAATAGGGAGCTCATGTTCACTTGCCAGGTCCTTTGCTCTACAAGCGGCAGAGCAGGCTTCTGCTCACCTTGTTTCTGAGCCCTGAACATGTAACCTTCCTTGTTGCTTACAAGTAAACATCACTGAACCTTGTAATTTTCAGCATTTTATTTTCTCCTATTTTAGAGATATGTCAGTGGACAGAATACACACTTGGCTACTTCAGCACATCAGAGTTCTGTGTCTAAACGTGTTTGTTCCGAACTGCAATATTTTTACTTACCCAAATATGTCTTCCATTTTTTTTCCATGTGCTAAATAATAACAGAGGTATTTGCCACCCTTGAGCATTAAATAAAGTATCTTAGTTAGTAGTCTTGCCCACCGAATCTCAGCTTCAGCTACTTTCACAAGTTTCCATTTTTATCTTCTCTGCATCCTCTAATGCTGAGGGAAGAAAGGGAGAAAGGAGTTGATGTGTTTTTTCCCCACGCGTTCCTGGACAGCCCTGCAGAAAGCTGCCTTCCACGGCTGTTCTGCAGCTGCAAATTATTTTGTGCTGTGTTAGAGACCACACTCCCTTCAGATGCTGTGGAGCCAGGGAGAGGGTGGCTAGAGAGCAAGAGGATTGGGCTGTGTGTGCTGTGCTCTGGGCAAGGCCTCTGTGGCCTTGGCAAAGGGACCGAGTGCACGAAGGGACACCACCTGTCTTTAAAGGGAGGGTGCTATCCTCTTCCATGAGTGTGCTAAGAGTAAATGCATCCTGAGGGCATCGGGGTGGCCTGGCCTGCTGAGAGGGGCTTGTGTGGGTTCTCCGAGTAGAGCACAGCAGAGCTGGTGCTTCCAGAGCAGTTCTGCCCCAGCAGTGGTGGGAGATGAGCCAGGAGCCCCTCTGCAGCTGGGGGTAGCCTCCTTTTCGATGCTGGGGCCATTCCATGTGTCCCAGCTAGAGCAGGAGCGGTTGGGGCCATTCCGTGTGTCCCAGCTAGAGCAGGAGTGGTTGTAGAGGTCTCCCTACAGACTATAGGCTTTGCACAGGCTGCTTTCTTTCCCAGAGGCCTCTCAGACCCCTTGCCAGAGCAGCTGTGTAGTGACAGAGGACATTGGCGGTCACGGGGACCTGTGTGAAATGGGGCCTCTCGGCTCTGTCCCTTGTCAGCCGGCCAGCCAGGTTTGCTCTGGTAGTGTGGTGCTGAGCTCCAGGGGGACGCTGGCCTGGCTGCGAGAGCAGCACGTGGCCCCGGAGGGACCCACGGCCTCACCTGCCTTCTGCACCGCCCTGGGGCGAGCAGGGCCGGGTGGGAGCTGACCCTCAGCAGCACCTCTTGTGTGTGCGTTTGTGCTGCGCTCAGGTGCCAGCGAGGAGAAGAAAGAAGGCTGGTCTTGGGCGTCCTACCTGGAGGAGCAGAAAGCTGTCGCTGCCCCTTTAGATCTCTTCCAGGATGTGAGTTTTCCTGTCTTTTTCCTCTCTTCCATCTTCGCTTTTCTTTCCTTTATTTTTTTCCCCAGCCCTCGTCTTTTTTCTCTCTTCCTTGCTTCCCTGTTTGGTGGGGCTCTGTGCAATAAGCCAGCTCCTTTCTTCATTCACAAGTGACCGGTTAGTCCCACGGCTTTCCGGTTGTCCTTTGTCCCCGCTCCTGCTCCCCGGTGGGGTCCTGTCCCCCAGCCCTGCACCTTATGTGTGCCTAGGAGACTCTGGTGCCTCTGGAAGGCTGCTGGAGCCCTTCCAGGCCTTCCCTGAGCCAGCATGCGAGTGTCCTGGGAAGCTGTGTGCTGTGATGACCTCTGCTTCTGGCTGGGGGCTCAGCAGGGCATGAGAAGGGCCCAGATGCCCGTGCCCCGCGCTCCCCTGTGCTGTGCAGCTCTCATGTGGGCTAGTGACCCCGGGACACCCTGCCCTGCCAGCAGCCAGAGAAGCAAACCTGCAGGTAGCTGCAAGAACGTATCTTTCTACAGAGAAAGGATTAAAGTTTGGCCGACAACATAACCTGTTGCCCGCCATCTCCAGGGCCCAGAAGCTCCCATTATCTGATGGTTGCTCCATGGGATTGTTCTAGACCCTTTTAGCTGTGTTGCTTTTTACATCTTAGTTTAATTTTTGTTTCCAGTACCAAGTAGCTTCCCAGCACAAGAATGGCTTTAAAGTGGGGATGAAGCTGGAAGGAATCGACCCACAGCACCCATCTATGTACTTTATCCTTACCGTGGCTGAGGTAAGGTGCTTCCAGCTTTCCAAGTGCATTTCCAGCTGTTTTTCCCCTCTCCTCCTCTCCAGGCAGCAGGAGGCCTGGGAGGAGAGGAGGTGGTGCAGGGAGGCTGGTGCAGGACTTTTGGCCCTCACATCGCTGTGCCATGGGGCTTTCTTTCTAGTTTGTAGAGGACAGGAGATAATGCTGCGAAGCAGATGCCATGTCCAAGTGTAGTCTCTGCATCACACTGACACTGAGTGTCAGGGTGATACCATGGCTTCACCATGGGGTGGAAAGATTATAGCAATGGCAACTGTTTCTTGCCTGAGATGCTGCCTCTCAGACAGGCTTGGCCCCTGCAGATGGTCTGGAGGTATCCCTTTTCCTCCCTCAGTGGAGGCAGTGTTTCTGGCACTCTCAGCTCAGCCATGTGTCATGCCCCCAAACCAGCCTTGCCTTGCAATGCTCTCAGGGCCCAAAGGAGCCAGGAAAAATCACCATACAGCAGTGGCTACTGGAGAGATTTCACGCAGGCAGCATGGCATTCAGCCAAAACCCTGGGCTGGAACCTCCCAGAGGCACAGAAAAGAGAACCTTTGGCCTTACCAGATCTGACAAAATGCCTCACTGTTTCACAAAACCATCGAGTCCAAACTCACTGCTCACGCAAGGTCATGAACGCCTGGAGCAGGTTGCCCAAGACCATGTCAGACAGCTTTTGCATATCTGTGAGAATAGTGACTCTACAGGCGCAACCTGTGCTAGTGCACAGTCACCCTCACAGTCAAAAAGATTTTCCTTAGATTCAGGTGGAGCTTCCTGCTTTTCAGTTTGGGCCCCTCGCCTCATGTCCTGTTTCCACTTCATCTTACGCCAGGATATGTGGCTGGGTTTGTGATGGCCAACACTTAATCTTGCTTTCATGCCAAACACATCCTGGGATTGGCTTGTGCTTCCCAATTCAGGGTGCTGACATATTTATTAACTTGACTTTTTGTTTCCCTTTTGGATTGTACGTGGGAAGGGGTGTGTGTGCAGTGTCCTGTGGGGCAGCCAGAACTTTTCATGGTCCGTCCTTTCTCCTGCCCTCCCTGCCGGTAGGTGTGTGGTTACCGCATGCGGCTCCACTTCGACGGCTACTCCGAATGCCATGACTTCTGGCTCAATGCCGACTCCCCCAACATCCACCCTGCGGGGTGGTTTGAGGAGACAGGGCACAAACTCCAGCCCCCGAAAGGTAAGGAGCTGGAGAGTCTGGGTCCGCAGGCCCTGTGGAACAGGGGGAATGAGGAGAGACACCCAAACTGCTCGTGGGAACCAAGGCGGGGATGGGTGACAGGGGATGCTGCTGTGTTGGGGTTGTTGCATGACAGCCCTGCAGGTACCTGTTGTCACTAGAGCTTGGCCTGCCTCCATTCTGGAGGGCAAAGCCCCGTTGCTCAGGATGACACTATGCTACTGGAGCCGGCAAAGTGGCTGCAAGACCCTGCTCAGCACCCCGTGCACTGCCAGGCATCGGGGATCAGCACTCTCCAGGAAGGAACCGAGCGCTGAATTTCCATTCCGAAGCTAAAGTGTCTCAACATCCCTCTGGAACAAGCCACTGGCCTGTACTGGATGTGCCTAGACAGTGGGATTCCCTAGGGTGCTCTAAGGCCCATTTGTCCCCCGTGAAGCCACTGGGCAGGGTGAGGGCTGGTCCGACTGGGGTGGCTGGGCTCAGCCATGTGGCCTCTTCTGTGCTGTCTGCTGTCTATGAACTGGCTGCTCTCCTTTCCCTTCCTGAGGGGTTGTAGGTTATAAGGAGGAAGAATTCAGCTGGACAAACTACCTGAAGATAACAAAGGCTCAGGCAGCTCCAAAGCACCTCTTTGTGATCCGAAACAGTGTGAGTAGCAGCTTCTCCTCCCTGCCAGGGCCTACAGGTTCATGTGCATCTCCCTCCCATCCATCCCAGCCCAATCACTCCCCCACATTGAAGCTTTTCAACATCCACCTCATGCCTCAGAATCCTGCAGTGCAAAGGGCCAAGTGAATGCACTGCTGGAGTTACTTAACGACACATGCGATGATTTATTGCTGAGGATCTGCAACTTGGACGCTAACCTGGTCTGTTCAAAACTGAGGTGGGTCTGGTACACTGGATCCATCTCACGTACAGTTACAGCTCTCCCAGATCTACTGCTGGGGAAATAAAAAAGCCTTTTTTTCTTTTTTTTTTTTTTTTTTATAAAAAAAATCAGTAAATGTTTCACCAGTATAATTTTGTTGTTTTCTTTTGACCTTTATTTTTCACACACAACTTGGGTAAGGAAGAGGAGAATACCATGGAGTGCTAAACGCTGACAGTTTCTTTGCTGATTGCAGAGGAAACTCAACCTACTGATAAATCAGCCTCTCAAAGTTTTATTTTTAAGTTTAAATCATCCTCCTTGAAAAGATGCTTCTTTGCATGATGGCTGCAGTGATCCTGCTACTGTGTGTGATGCAGTGTTTTGTACAGATTTGGTATCCAAGCAGTAAAGACAAGGTAGGGTGCAGGGCCCTGTCCTAGATCCTCCTGCCTAGAGGATTTAGTAGCTGCACACAGTGGAGGAGCATGATGACAAATAAATCTTTTGTCATAGAACCTGAACCAATATAAGCTGGAGACTGCTGCTGTCTTGGAGCTTACTGCTTGTATAAGATCCTGAGGACCTGAAGGTGTTTCATGTCTACTTTCTTTGTGTGGCCCAGTTACCTGTGCCCGTTTTCCTGTGTGCAGAGCAGGGTGCTGGGGCACCTCCGTGGTCACAGACCTTGGCTAGGAGCCAGGGTTGAGGCCTATTTGGGCGGGTTTAGGGGTGCGCCACAGTCAAACGAGGTGCCGAGGAGGGTGTGTGGCACCACAGGCACAAGCAAAACCCATCCTCTCCTTGCAGCACGAGGCTCCCCAGGGCTTTGAGGTGGGCATGAAGCTGGAGGCCGTGGACCGCATGAACCCGTCCCTCATCTGTGTCGCCACAGTGACCGACGTGGTAGACAATCGCTTTTTGGTGCACTTTGACAACTGGGATGATACTTATGACTACTGGTAAGCACGCAGCTGCTCCTGGACACCATGGACAAGGAGCCTTGCTGCTGTTTCAGCAAAAGTGATGGGTGCTCTGGGATGCTCCCAAAATGTCCTTTCAGGCAGGCTAGCAGTGGCCTGGTAGGTCAAAGGGTTGCCTAGCTGTGCAGGAGGAAAGAACTTTTCCAGTCCCATGCCACTTTGTTACTTTCTGTGATGTAGGTAGGTCTCTCCCATTAACATGAGGTTAAAAGAGGCTTGATTATAAGCCTTGACTTGGCTCTGAAACTTGCCTCAGTGTCAGGCAGGGCTACCTACAATGTCACCAAGGCAAAGACTGAAGGCCTGACCTTAAAAGGAGTCTGTGGGGCCATGGGCAGAGGGTGTGTGTCTGTGTGGGAAGGGAGGGCACAGAGAGGGTTGGCCAAGGCTCGTTAAAGCAAATTAGTGCAGTCAAGGCCCTGAAATGAAGTCTGCATCCATCCTCCTTCATAGCCTGCAGACCTCCCTCTTTTTGTCTGCTTCAGACCCTTGCCTGAAGGGCTGGTTCTGTAGCAGTTGCTGCATCAGTCGTTTAAAACGCCTGACCCTGCTGCTTGCTCCTTGCTAGGTGATGCTGGTCACAAGAAATGGCTCCTCTGTGCGGTGCCCCATGGCAGACCCATGAAGCAGAAGCATCTGAGTAACCATCATCTGCTTGGGGTCCCCAGGCAGTACCTGAGCTCCCCAGTTGCTCAGCTCTGCCTGCTCTCAGTGCTGGGAAATGTGCAGCTGGTCTCCCCTTCCACGGCAAAGTGGTGCTTCTCCATGGGTAGCTCCACTGTGGAGCTTGAACCCAGGGCATATTCACGGAATCATCCAGTCCCTGCAGCAGCTTCGTTGCCCTTCTCTGGACACGCTGCAGAGCCTCCACGTCTTTCTTGTAGTGAAGGTCCCAAAGCTGAACACACTATTCAAGATGTGGCCTCACCAGCACCGAGTGCAGGGGCGCAATCACTTCCCCAGTCCTGCTGGCTACGTATTGTCTGCGTTCATGCCCTGCTCCTATGAGCTGGAGCCCCTTTCCTCTAGCTTTTGACTCCACAGTCTCCTGGATTATTCAGAAATGAGGGTGCTGTAAAAGAGGCTCGTGCAAGGCATTCGCAGCTGCCATAGGCCAGGGCCGTGCTTCCAGGCAGTCTGTCCTGGTTCCTGACGGTCTGCACTGTCCAGCAGTGACGAGCTGGGTGTCTCTGCCACATAAGTGAACATGTGTATTTTGCAGGTGTGATCCCAGCAGTCCATATATTCACCCAGTCGGATGGTGTCAGGAACATGGCAAACCTCTCACACCTCCTCAAGGTGAGTAGGTGGCCGGGGAGCAGAGCCTGCACTAGTGTGTCCTCTTGGAGGCCTGGGAGCTTTCCATGAGCAAGGCCACAGCCAAAGAGACTGCATGCACTGCTCAGGGGTCTTGTACCTGTGTTCAAGTGCAGCACTGCTTTTATCAGGCCACGTGGACAGATCAGGAGGCCCGAGTGCTGGTCCAGATGTTTTTTCTTCCTCTGCGCTCTGTATGTCATGGTCCATTAGAAAAAGCGTCACATTTTGATGTCTCTCGTGTTCTTGTGTGCCTCGTGCAGGCTTGGTTGGTCCTGCAGGACAGTAGGACATTGTGGGATACCTGCTGTCCTCTTGCAAGCCTGTGTGTCTCACCCTGTACATCCTTCTCCCTTCTAGACTATCCTGATCCTGACAACTTCAGCTGGGAAAAGTACCTAAAGGAAACTGGAGCGTCTGCTGTCCCAGCTTGGGCTTTTAAAGTGGTAAGAGCCCCATCCTCAACTCTGCTGTGCCTTGGCAGACCTTCAGGTGTTCCCCATTGTCACATCCGTGCTTTTGTGAAGGGTGATGCATAGTGTGCTCCTGCTACAGCCTGGGGCTCAAATCTACATTCAGGGTGCAGAAATCAGGGCTCTATTGGGCAAATAGATGCAAACTATGAAAAATGAAAAGTATGACAACTTCCTTAGCTAGATAGGAGGCACATGATGGAAAATCATTTCAGCTTACTTGATGGTTTGTCTCCTATTGCAATAATGGCAGCTGTGTCCAGTCAACTGCAGCCCCAATGTAATTCCTCAAAATGGGTCTCTGTGAGGCCTTTTCTCATTGGCAGAGATACCTTATGTCAACACAGCTCAAAATCTGTCCCTACTCTCTCCTGGTTATAATTCTGAACTTGGAAGGACTCCAACCCCGATGAGCTGGAGGTGGGAGCTAGGCTTTGGAGCACGTTTTGGTGGAAAATGGGGAAGGAGTGCAGGATCCCAGAGCACACTGTGATCCTCAGTGACCTGGCGTGCTTCTGACCCTCAGCGCCCACCCCATGGCTTTCTGGTCAACATGAAGCTGGAAGCTGTGGACAGAAGGACTCCTTCCTTCATCCGAGTGGCCACCGTGGAGGATGTGGAAGATCACAGAATAAAGGTGGGTCCTAGAGTCTTGGTGCTGAACTTGCATGCAGAGACTGTCCTGCCTTCCCCTGATCTTCCTATTTTGCTGTGCCAGTTGCAATGGCAAAGTACGTGGAGGTCTGTGGAAGCATTAAGTCAGAAGGATGGCAGATCTCATGGCCTGGCTCCAAGAGTGGAGCAGAGCCTTCTACTGCAGTTCAGCTCTACCCTGCTGCTTGCCATCAGCTTGGAGGGTTGCAGTGGTTTAAAGATGACCTTTTCACTTGTTTCCCCAGATCCATTTTGATGGCTGGAGTCACGTCTATGATTTCTGGATCGATGCAGATCATCCAGACATCCACCCCATAGGCTGGTGCTCAAAAACTGGGCACCCACTGCAGCCTCCTCTCAGTAAGTCCTTGAGACAGAGCCTCACACGGGTGCCAAGGGTGCCAGATCCCTGCTGTCACTGGCCCCGGCCAGGAACAGAAATGTGCACTGGCTGAGGATAAGCAGGGAATAAAGGCCTTTCTCACAGAGCTGGCAGGTGGGAATGTCCTACAGTTTGGAGCAGACAGGGAACACAGATTTCTCACTCTGCCTGTGGCCCTGGTTATTACTGTATCTCTCCTGTTTCTTGTACAGGGCCAAAGGAACCAGCCTCCTCTACCCATGGTGGCTGCCCAACTCTGGGCTGCAAGAACATCCCTCACACCAAGGGCTCCAAGTACAACTTTCACCACAGGTAAGCGCCCCAGCATGGCTTGGAGGGACAAGGGTTTGCTGTGGGCTCAGCCCTGTGGCCTTCCTCCTCTCCTTTGCCACCCATACAACTTCTTGGCACTCTTCTTTGCTCTATTCTGCCATTCTACCACCCCAGTTCTGGCTGTCCCTGTAGCATAGGGGCAGCCCTGCACTACCTGTGTCAGGGCTGCTTAGAGCCTGGGGGGTTCATTCCTAGAATAATACCTTAGGAGGTGGTGTCTGTGCTCTGTGTCTGCTCTGCGTAACTCAGAAACCCCCAAGGGCACCCTGGACACCCATTTGCCTGTGGGACATATGGGCTATACAGGGGACAGCCTTAGTTACCTTTTTGACATTGCTTATTGATACCAGCTTCCAGGATGGTGTTCTTCCAGTCCCTTGTGGATGCTTTTTCCCTGTGAGTTTTTGAGCTGGAAAGTGCTGAGACAGGACTTTGTTGATTTTGGGGCCTGTGGATAGTTTAGATGTCTGTGGGTGGAAGAAAGAGATGATGAAGACTCTGTGAAACGTACTGACCTTGTTAATCAGGACTGTGGATACTTGTTCAGGCCAGCAATTGCAGCTGTGGGGAAGGTGGGACTGGGATTTGTGCTTAGAGGGGCTGGACTTGTCCTGCCTGTGAACTCACATTCGCAATGCCCTGGACCCAGGGCGTTTGTTCAGCAAGTCTGTGGCATTGCTCTGCGTGGCGAGAGCGGTGGCTTCCTGCGGTCTGAAGTGAAGGAGCAGCCCTGCTGCCAAATGCACAGGACCTGGCTGGTGCTGCTGTGCTGCCCTGTGCTGGGTCCAACACTCGCCTACCCTCTGTTCTCTAGGAAGTGCCCCACACCGGGTTGTGACGGGTCAGGACACGTGACCGGGAGATTCACAGCCCATTACTGCCTCTCAGGGTGTCCACTGGCAGAGAAGAACCAGAGCAGGCTTAAAGCAGACTTATCTGACACTGAAGCCTCAGCTCGAAAGAGGAACCTGATCAGCTTCTCTCAGCGAAAGAAATCTCGGCACCACGGGAGGTAGGGGCGAGCGTGGCGAGGCCGGTTCAGGCAGAGCTGCACCTGCACTGTGCTGGGTGAATTTGGAAGGGACGACCAAGCCAGAAGAGGCACCTTACCCTGGGGATGCATGCTCGCTGGCAGCTGCTGTTTGTCCTTCCAGCTCTGTTGGGTCACCTTGGGCAGCACTTGTGCTTTTTTTTTCCATTTTGTGTGAGCTTAACTGTTACCTGTTTGGGTTAGGGTCTGAGAGGTAATGCTCCCTCCCAGTGCTAAGGGACAGCTCTGTGCTATGCAGAGAAGAGTCCTCAGACTGGTCCCAGCTGAATTTGAAATCCATCATCTTGTCTCTTCAGAGGGCGACCTCCAAAGTACCGAAAGATCCAACAAGAAGACTTCCAGAGTAAGTGGAATAAGCTGTCTTCTTCCGTGTGTCACTGCAAATCAGAGGCATGGCTTGAAGACTTGGCATGGTGATGGGAGAGAAAGGTCTCCTCTTGGTCTGTATGGTCAGACCTAGGGCAGGTTAGCACCTCCTGGAGGTCTGTGCTGGGTCCATGCACAGCTCATGGCCTGACTGTCAAAGCTCCGTGACAGGAAATGTTCTTGCCTCTTATCAGAGCTGTGCTTGCTCCCTCATTATGTCTCTTGACTTACATTCATGCTTCCTTTGAGTGCATTAGGGCAGGGAATTACCATCCTCTTTCCATGGCAGTGAATTTTCCAAAGCCCTCTGTCCACTGCAGACAAAGATGTCATGTCTTCATCCCGTGGGTGCCATGTGAGCCCCGAAACATCAGTGGAATTGTGAAATGCCATGTTATTGCCACAGTACAGAAAGTTAATGCCGAACAATTTGCTTTGCATTTAGTTCTTATGACTGAAATAAAACATAGAATGTCTGCAAGTGGCAAAGACATTACTTCCAGCAGTTACCAGTTCTACCATGGTCTGGTGCCTATCCCAGCACTAGGAACAAATGAAAAGGATCACTTCCTTGACTCCTTGGGGCACAGAATAAGATGAAAGCTTTGTTGAAAAACTAAAATTAACTAAATGATTAAGGATGCCATTCTGATGTGAAAAATGATGTTAGTGTTCAATTTAGTTCAGAAAATGAATGATGGGAGGTGGTAAGAACAAGGAGGGCCCAAGCCTGTTGGCTCAAAAATTCTTCTCCACCATTGTCAATACCATCTACCCGGACTCTTTGATACACTGATAACCTGTTAATGCAAGGGAAAACTTGGCTCTTGATAGTCTGGATCTAGGAGAACATCTGATCCCAGGTCCTTGGCTGACAGGGCTTGTAGGACGGGATAGGCTGTTCCTGTTTCTCTCCTTTCTATCGTGCCTTGTCTGTTTATTGCCAGGTATTTCCTCAGACAACATGCACCAGTCACTCTTCATGTCCGCCCTGTCTGCCCACCCTGACCGCTCGCTGTCCCTCTGCTGGGAGCAGCACTGCAAGCTCCTGCCGGGGGTGGCTGGCATCACAGCAACCACAGTGGCCAAGTGGACCATTGATGAGGTAAGGCAGCTCTCGGGAGAGCTTGCTGGCTCCTAACCCCATGTTGTGGCTATGCAGTGCTGTTGGCACGTGTGCCAGGTGCTGAGGGGTCTCGAGAGCCAGTTCTGTGGGCTGCTAAGGAGATGGCCAGCTTGATGCCCCTGTGTTTAGCAGGGGAAGGTGGGGACACCTGCCCTAAGGGCGGCTGCTGGGAAGGACATGTGCAGGGTAGGCTGCCAGAACTACCAGTTTGTGGCTTTGCTTGAATGTGACGCCAACTCAGGGCAGGGAAATGAAGGCAATCAGCAGTTTCTTCATTTAGCATCTTACAATTTTCAAACAAACCAGTTTAATCTTTTTAATTAAAAAAAAAACAGACCATTGACTCAGCAGATAAGGAATCACTTATTTTTCTGTTTTTCTTTTGAAGAAGTCTTTGTCTTGGGCTCTCCCTCATCATCTCTCATTCCCTTTCTCTGGCATCCACAGTAGCCCCTTCTGAAGCCAGGGGAGCTGGACCTCTGGAGCCAGAGGGTCAGCCCTGGCTGCCAGGCTTGCCTGATACCTCCCTTACACTTTGGTGTGTCTTTCTCCTGACCCGGACCCTCAGTTGGAATCATCTCACCATGCAGAATACTGCTTACTGGAGATGAAGCTGCTGTGACATTTGCTGCTGTGGGGCTGGAGAAGACTAGCAGCCTTTCCCTGTTCTGACAGTGGTCTCCCTTAGTCATAGGCGAGTGCCACAACTGCAGTACTTTATCCTGTCTAAAAAGTGCTCTAAAGTGTTACCCTATACCACTGTTAAAGGCAAAATACCACTGTTGAAGTAAGAGTGTGGGCTCAGGGTGTTCCCACTCAGGGAAGTCACTTCAGGGAAGCCTTAACATTGCTCTCCCTGTCTCTTTGAAGGTCTTCAGCTTCGTCCAGACTCTGACAGGTTGTGAGGACCAAGCCAAACTCTTCAAGGATGAGGTGAGATTCGCCAGAGGACAGGCACTGGTGGTCCAGGACAGCAACGCAGGAGGGAGGGATCAGCCAGCAGCCTTTGGCCCATAGCACATCCCTTGACTGTGGGGAGCGTTGATGCCTCACAGCAGTCTCGCCCTACTTTTTTCTCACCCATTCGTTTTCCCCATCCTTGTGTCCTCTCACTAGAGCATCAGTCCAGCATTATTCCTGTCCATCAACCATGTTCAGAGTTTTTAGACTCTTCCGCAGACAAAACCATGGAGGAGCTGCTCTCTAACATACACAGTATGTCTGGGGCAAGCTGATCCTGGGCATTCTGGGTGCAGTGTGGTCCTAGGCCATTGAGGCTGTGCTTTACTGGTGCTCAGGCAATCAGAGCCAACCTGGGGCAGCCTTCATGCAGGCAGAGGGCTAGAGCCAGGAATAGATTGTGGTCCAGAGAAAAACACCTGCTGCCTGTGTCCTGTGCCTGTCGTGGTCTGGCCTGTAAGTCAGCTGGAAGGGACGTTTCCCCTGTTCCTGGTTGTGCAAATTTACCCATTCTGGTTTACGTGACACAGTGGGTTGGGACATGGTGAGAACACTGTGCATGGCTTGTTCCCTACTCTGTATGAATGGGAGTGGCCTGAAGCAGGGAAGAGGCTGTGGCATAACACTCCAAATGTCTTGGAAAGGAACAGGTTGAGCTATCCGCTCCTGGCAGCAGATGGGAAGGTGAGTGACAATGTGCACGTCTCCAGGGAGAGCCTGTGGTTGGCCCTGGGAAGTGTCAGCCCGGCTTTCTGATGAACGCCCTTGTCCCTGCTTTCCTCTCCAGATGATCGACGGCGAGGCTTTCCTCTTGCTGACGCAGGCTGACATTGTCAAAATCATGAGCGTCAAGCTGGGTCCAGCACTCAAGATCTACAATGCCATCCTCATGTTCAAAAATGCCGATGACACCTTAAAGTGACTTTTCTTGGCCCAACTGAGACCTTCTCTCAGCAGTGGAGCTGGCAAACTGTCTGGCCAGGACAGAGGCCTCCCACAACAACCCACAGCTTGTCATGTCCTGCCCATGCTCTCTTGGATGCCTCATGTCTGTTCTCACACCAAGTCCATCTCCCTGACCCTCTTCCTCCCCCCTCCCCCCACCTCTCTCTCCATGCTGTCCCTCTCCTCCAGTGTTGGTAGAGGCTGATGAGGCAGAGGGTGGATGCAGGACTTGCCTGCCTTAGCATGGAAGCCACCCTTGATTTGCTCCAAGCGTGGTGACTGCGCTAGCTCAGGGGTGTGCTCATAGACAGTGGGGCTGCACAGAGAGTGCAGGGGACCAAGGGCTGACACCACTCACTGCTCAAGTGACCAGGGAAAGAACTGACTACCCACATTCACACTCGCACCTATTTTGAGGCTTGTCTTTTCTCTATTCTGAAACTGAGAGATGATTTTTCCCCTCCATGTGTTCCTCTGGGAGGAGGTTTCTGTGAACAACATATGGGGGACACTCTCAAGGAGCTTCAACTCGCTTTACATTTTTTTCTCTTGGCTTCTTGTGACTCCCCCTTTTAAAGCCAGATGATAACTTTGCTTTGCCTCTTCATTGCACTGGGCATCGGTGGCCAATCTCTTGCCCCTTTGATGGAGCAGTGTGCCCTGGTCGTGGCCCTGCCTGTGACCAGCACCAGGGTTTGTTGCTCTTTAGTGCAAGGCCGCAGCCCTGGGGCCCCATGTGGCCAGGGCTGTAGGGATGCAGAACGATGCTTACACTGGCACAATGTGACAACTCTTACATTTCAGGCTGCCTGTGCCAACACATCCCTGGGAGAAAGGCAATTTGGTTAACTGGTGTGTCTCGCAGCAATTAAAATCCTCCACAAAGGAGAGGCAGAGAAAGGCCTTTATAGTGTTGAGGCAGCTGCAAAGGGAAAAAAAAAAAAAAAAGCCTTTATTTCTCCATAGGCAGATCTGGAGTTTGGTTCCTAAGGAATTCCTAAGTTAGTTGACTCCGTCCTGCCACGTCACCTTATGGCCCTCATTTTGCCCTCCTGAGCCCCCATATTTTGTTATTGGAAAGGTAGGATTATTTGCTTTTGTTCTCTGGTTTCCTTCCCTACAGAGCTAGAATATTTAGCAGCGGACAGGTTTTTCTGTCCCTCTAGCAACACAGCATTTTTTTTTTTTTTTTTTTTTTTACAAACAGGGTGCATGCAATTTGCAAATGTTTGTCCCCCCCATAGTGGAGGGAAGACCAAGTAGACTAGGATATTCTAACCTAGAAAGCTGACATGACTGAGGGTATACAAACAGTCCTAGGCAGCTTTGGATAGTGCTGACGTTACCACCTGCTAAAACGGGAGGACATACACTGCCCATGTGATGCTTGTTGGGGTCTTTTATCCCTCCCTGCCTGTCTTCTGTGGGTGACTACTGAAGCAAGGACCCCAGCTGGAGGGACCAGAACTATGGTGCTGGTGGTTCTGCTCCGTCACACCAGAAGGAGGTCAGCACAGGCTTGGGCTCTGTGTGACTGGAGGAGGGTTCCTGGGTCCTTGAGAGCTTTCCACAGTCTGAAGTGGTGTGATCTGGGTCTGGATGTTTCTTCTTTGCATTCCCATGAGTGACACAGCAGTAATGAAATGAATCTTTTCTCCTTTCCCAGTGCTCAGAGAGAGGGGTGAGAGATCTTAGCATGTGCACCAGCAACATGTCTTGGAGCAACACTGCCTTGGAAGCCACTGTCACACTTGAGTCGATTTGTGCTAGGCTTCCCATGGAAATGTAGCATTTTGACTCTTTCTTATTGAATATTTGAGGTCCTGTTTGACCTGCTCTTGAAATGTCTGCTGTTTGCTGTTCATGCGGAACTTGTAACTAGTCTATGTATTTATTTTGTCAGTGCTTGGGTTTGATTTAGGCAATTCTCCCTTTCCTCTCCCTTTTCATTTTCTTTCATCTTTTCAAGTATTGCAGTGTGGCTAGCTGTGCAGAGAGGGTGAGTGGGAAGGAGCAGGCATGTTCTTGAATCCCACCATTGCTCCCAGAGTCACCCTCAATCCACAGTAAATGGTGTCAAACTTGGTCTTGTCAGCTTTGGAAAATCTCCTCCTGAGCCACTCTGTGTTGGGGAAGAGGAAGAGGAGCTCTGGAACCTTCAGCTGTGAGATTCTGTGTGTAAACCATGCTCTGAAACCCCTCCAGTTGTGATCTGGAATAACACATCTCCTACTTGACTCCTGGTACCTTTGCACAGGTCCTGGTCTGGGGGTATAAGGAAACCTGAATCCCATTCTTGTCTGCTTTACTCCCTCATGCAAAGCCATTCCTCCTCCTTTTTGGGAAGGGCCTTGGGTGTGCAGGAAGAAATTGCTACCAGGGTATTGGATCTAAAAACAGCATGAAGGATGGAGAGACAGTCTTGTCCTTCGCAGGACTGCTGCAGCGGTCAGAGATGGTGAGGAATTCCCAGGATGCCTGTTGAAGGGGAAAAGGAGCTGTAAAGCCAACCATGGCTGGTCCGCAGGACCACGCTGCCCACACTGACAGCTCTTGCTCTGCTGTTGTGGTGACCAAGCCGCACTCTGGGCCCTGACAAGGTGGGCAGAGGTGGGTGCTCCAGCCTGTGCTGGCCTTGGACACCAGGAGGTGCAGCTGGAAGCTGCTCCCATTGGATACTACCTTCCTAAGCTCTCGTAATCTCTCTGTAAGAGCAGATGCAGACGGACTGAGCCTGCTATGAACGTCCCCCGGCTGCACCCAGAGTCTCTGGTGGGGATGTTGCTGGTCCAAACTCTGCGCAGGGAACAGCTTGCCAGGGAAAACAAGCTCATGGGAAGTGTGAAGTGAGCCATGAGGAATTCTGTCACACTCTTGTCTGCTGTCTTGAGCATCAGTCCACCTGCCTCTTGGGCTGGCTCCTTTCAGGCCTTTGGGTTCAAAGCTTCTGAATTTGGTCTGGGTGAGAGTTACAGTTTGTAGATGGTCAAGGGCTATTTACTTTTAAAGCTTATAACCTTTTTTTTTTTTTCCAAAAAAAAAAAAAAGAGAGAAAAAGAAAGAAACTAAAACATACAAACCCAAAGCATTGTGTGTATGTGTGAACGGGTGTTTATGGTGTTTATGGGTGCTAGTATAGAAAAATAACAATGCCATTTCCTCTTCCGGTGGTCTGGTGCTGTTTTATTATGGCAGTTTCTGCGGTAGCGGCCACGGGCGCGGCGGAGCCGGCAGCCTGCCGGGGAGCAGTAGTTGCCCGTGGTCCCGGCAGGGAAGCTGGGAGAAGGGGAGAGTGGCTGCCCCCTCTGCGTGGCAGGTCCTCCAGCTCCATAAGAGTCCCCGTGAGGAGCTCCAGGCCAGGCAGTGTCGAGGCAGCTGTGGCCGTGGCAGAAGCACCCAAGTTTTTCATTCTTTCCCTCTTGGCCAGCCAGGGTCCTTCTGGACACCTCTTCTGCCATGTCACCAAGGAGCTGGAGCTGCTGCTAGGGTTGAACTTGCTCAGACCTTCTGAAGATTCTTTCCAACATAGGTGACAGCAGCCTAATTTTTTCAGCTCATGGAGGATCTTTAAATGTATTACTAAGGCCCCTGGAGCCCACAGTACTGCCTGTGCTGCCGAGGGTGGCCTTGGCTCAGCTGGAGCCGTGGGATATCTGCCACCCTGTGGTGGGTGCTGCGGCGCTGCTGCCCTCCAGCCCCAGTCTCAGGTGTCTGAGGTGGCCCTGGGTGCATGCCGGAGCCTCCCAGGAATTGTTCATCCCTTTAGCGAGAGCCTGAAGTCTCGGATTGCAAAGAAAAGGGCAGGCCTGAGGCTCACCAAGGGACTGGACCTTCTCCAGCCAGACCGTGCTTGGCTGCCTCTTGTTCCAGGAGGCCTGAGCATTTTTATTTTTCATCAATTGCAAACAGTGTTTAAGAAAAAAAAATCCAAAAATCCAAATTCTCTGGGAGGGTTGATGGCTCACATGAAGTCACTTCCTTCAGAAGCCGATCTGTGGACTTGAGTGCAATCCCGGGAGTGCCAGAGAGGAGAGGCTCCTTGGCAGCTTCTCTGCCCTTCTCCCTCCTCCTCCAGCCCTGGGGTAGAGCAGCCATCCCCAGTGCAAAGGGAGCAGTCACTGGGCCGCAGCCCAGCCCTGACCCCGTGTCCCGCCGGTGCCCACGGCTGCCACTACCTGCAGAGGTGAAAGGGGAGCTGCACTTTGGGAGGAGCGTGTTTGTGATTACAAAAAGCTTTTTTGCACTTTCATTCATTTTGCACTTCTTTGTAATTTCTTTTTTTTTTTCTAATATATATACGTTTGCACCTTCTCTTTGTGTTTCCCTAACGGAAATACTCATTGTACCCCGTGCAGCTCTTCCAGAATGTTGCATCCTGACTATACAGAGGTTTTAAGATCCTCTATATATAAATTTATGTTTGCGCAAACCAAATTTATATATAGAGAGATCGGTACGTGGTGTGTTTTGTCAGTGTTTCAAGGTAACGATAAATAAACATGAGTAATGGCACCGTTCCCAGCCGCACGCTACTTCCTCGGCCCGGCGCCCGCTACTGACCGGGAACAGCAACCGCCTCCGCCCGTGAAATGGCGGCTG